ATGATCATACATAAATATACTAATTTCAAACTACAAACATAATTTAAAGCAAGGTCTAGCTTCCTTCACCTCATAAGAAACTGCCTAATTCTAAGAATACCTCACCGATTGCTTGAAACGCAAGGAAAATCTAGAAACACTTACGAAACATCAAATTAAAAACGGAAAGAGTCTTTAGGACCTTAGATTTACCAAGAAGCTCAAGACACACATGCAATGGAAACTTCCAGGCATTGACTCGATTAAAGAGCGAAGAGCAAAAAGGAATTGAAACTTGCTTTATTGCGAAAAGTAATCAGATAGGAATATAGATCTCGTTGCTGTGATTGATTAGGCACCTACTGGTGGTTAAAGAGGTGACTCAGGAGTTAGAAATCTTAGAGAGAAGATATGGAACTCTAGAAAAGTGGTTTCTAGAGGGATGATACGTTTTAAAATAATGAAACTCGTCTATAACAAAACTATTTATAAATAAACCATTTAATATTAAAATAACCGAGTCTCATTATTTTTAAACTATCATCACTTCTAAATTATCATTTTCTGAAATTTTACCCCACACACATATAATATATATATATATATATATATATATATATATAATTTTTATTTTCTACCATATAACCTCATAGACTAAACGAAATTAAAATTTTTTTACATAAAGTTTAAAACAAAGATTTTTAAAATTTAAAAATAAAAAAGTAAAATTTATTAAATTGTGAGGACTATATGTGTAATTAAATCATATCATTATTTTAAAAGTTATAAATAATTAAATTTTGTAATGAAAATAATTTTTAAGTTTTTTTTTATACCGACTTAAGGATTAAAAAAATATTAGTTAACTTTGTTAATTGATCAAAGTTGTAAACATTCTATACATTAACTTAAATTTTGAAACACATTATATCTTCCAATCACTAGTTTTTCTAAATTTTTTATTCTTTTGAATTGTGGGGGTTTTCAATATAATTTTAGTTTTAAATTATTAGAAATTAGAAGTAAGATAAATTTATATTATTTAAATAAATATAAATCTCATTTTATAATTAAATTTGGTAAAACTTGTAAGAATAAATTAGGGTTGAAATTTATATTTATTTTTCAACATGACAAAAAGTAAATTATTTTTATGTGATTGTTAATTATTATTTTTCTAAAAGATAATTTAGTAATTGACATAATTTATTTGAATTAAATTGATTATTTTATATAATTGCTAAGAACTTTTATAAAAAAAAAATATGATTATCCAAGTTACCAATTATGATACAAATTTTGAATTTTTTTCTATAGAAAACTTTATGCAACTGTATTTACCTCATCATCCAGAGGTGTATCAATTCTTGTATAATATTTTGTTCACACCATAAAGGTGATCATTACAAAAAAAACGAAAACAAAATACAACAAAACCAACAAACACACAAGGGTAAACTAATTTACAAAAGGAACATCACACACAAATAATTTTATCGTAATAACATCATATAGTTCAAATAGATATCAGACCATATACCATGTATCAAAAGACTCTTTTATACTTAATTATCCATATAACATGCATTGATGTTTGATTCTTGGAGATTTTGAATTTGTGGTGACTTCTATTGCTTTGAAAAGTCATTGTCAATGAGTTTCACCCTACCACACACAAGGTTAGTCCTTCTCCATTCATAAGAACCCTGAAATCGTTCTTTCTCTAGAACCTCCTATTACTCCCAACACCTAACCCCTTCTACTTTACATGATTTTGAGTGGTTAGTTGAGTGTCAGGACAACCTTCATTCATGAGTATATACTTCAATACATACCTTAAAGAATTATATGTATCATCCACCTTGGATTTGAGCATACCATATTCACATAATTCACATAATTCACACATTAAACATCACAATAAACATTTATCAAGACAATAAGCACAATCATAAGAAAGTATCCAAAAAACAAACATATCACATATAGCTAGTTCATCACATTCTCATATAGTCGTAAACCATCACACCATGTCATAACTATCACATTTTCACAACACCAAACTTAAAAAACTTGAACATACCATTGAATCAATACAGATCAAAAGTAAGCAATAATTCTTAGCTTAAGATCTTAAAGAGAACATAGTTTTTGAAATATTTTTGGAATAATCGATTATTAGTGATAGTTACGAAATGAATCTTCAATTTTCTGACCTAATTTTCAAATATTAGGACTATATATTTTTTGCCTCCACAAATTTCAAACTGTGCATTTTCATTCTGAGAAGTTTAGTGTTGTTGTAAAGAAACTCTCTATGCTTTTGAAAAATAGCTTGTAAAACCTAGTGTTGGTAGAAGTGAGTGCTTTTACTAAGTGTGTCTAAGTGATTATGTACATCTGCTGTGACTAGGAAAAGTTGTCCATCATTTATGTGTCAAAAGAAGTGTCGTTCATCTCTTGTGTCGTCAAGATATGTGCTTTCTAACCTTTACTCTACACTTTGTTGTTGTAAGTTCTAGTTATTTTTAGTGATTAGTTAATCCCTCCTTAGAGAGATTAACAAATGTACGTAGGGTCTTTTGATCCAAACCAATATAAAAACTACTTATGTAACTTTCACTTTTCCGAAACTCTTTATCTTTATTGTTCTTGTTTAAGAAAATATATTTTTGTCATAAAATAAATTTATAAAACGAGAAAATTTTTAAAAGGTATAATTTTTATTAAGTAAACCAATTTACCCCCTCTTGGTTTTTGTCTATACGTGAACATTCTGGTGTGTGATTCTAACAACATGAGAAACATTTGTATCTTTATGCCTATTTTCAAAGCCTTGGTTGCTTGCCTTTCATCTATTTCTTTTATGGCCATTCCAAAATTCGTCTCTGATGCCTTAGTTCATCCTGGTTACGTCATGCCATGCTAGATGAACTAAGTGCTCTACATAAAAGTGGAATTTGGGAGCTCGTCCCATTACCTTCTAGAAAATATGTTGTTTGTTGTAGGTGGATTTTTGCTATCAAAGTTGGTCTTAATGGTACTATTGATTTTCTCAAAGTCCATCTTGTGACCAAAGGTTACATATAAACTTTTGGGTTGAATTATGATGATACTTTTTCTCCAATGAAAAAGATGGCTTTTGTTTGTTTATCTATAGCTATGATTGCTCTTCAACAATGATCTCTTTATCAATTAAATGTCAAAAATGTGTTCTTTAATGGAGATTTGTAGGAAGAGATTTGTATGGGGGAATCTGCAGGATTTTTTGCTTAGGGGGAGTTTTCTAAATTAGTATATCATCATCACAAATCTTTATATATGGCCTAAAATAATCTCAAAGGACCTAGTTTGGAAAATTTAGCAGAGTTGTTTAACAATTTGGTATGAAGCGGTTTAAAACAGATAATTTAATCTTTTATCATCACACACGTTCCTGATGCGTCTACTTGATAGTATATGTTGATAATATTATTCTTACAGGCAATTACAACCATGGCATCTTCCAAATGAAACAATATCTTTGTCATTTTCAAACAAAAAATCTTGGCAAACTCAGATATTTCTTGGGTATCAATGGTATTGTTATATCTAAAAGGAAGTATGCATTGGATATTTTGGAGGAAACTAGATTAATGAATTCAAAAAGTTGTTGACACACTTATAGATCCTAATACCAAACTTCTACCAAATCAAGGAAAACCTATGTTAGATCTTAAGAAGTATGGAAGATTAGTTAGGAAATTGAATTCTTATATCGTCCTGACATTTCCTTTGTAATCAATGTGGTAAGCCAATTTCTTAATTCTCTATGTGAAGATCAATTGAATGCAGTCATCCATATATTAAAGTACATTGAAGGAGCTCGAGGAAAAGGGTTGTTATGGGTTCCAATAACCATACAAGAGTTGTTTGTTATTTATATGCTGATTGGGCAAGATTTTCTTCTGATAGAAGGTCTACAATCGAGTATTGTGTCTCCATAGATGGTAAATTGATCCCTTAGAAAAACAAAAAATAAAGTGTTGTTGCAAGATCTAGTGCAAAAGCAGGATATAGAGCTATGGTTTCAATTACATATGAACTTATTTGGCTTAAACAATTGCTTAAAAAGTTACAATTTGAAGATGTTAATCAAATGACACTAATATGTGACAATCAAATTACTATCCATATTAATTATAATCCTGTATTTAATTAGATGATTAGTTTGGAAATGTCAATCAAATGACACTTATGTGATAATCAAACTACTCTTCATATTAGTATTTCATGAAATTACCAAACACATTAAAATTGATTGTCATTTATATAAAGAAATTATTGTCTTGAGACTAAACACATTGAAATTAAATGTCATTTAATTCAAAAAAATATTGTATATAGAGATATCAAGTTCATTAACTCAAGTGATAATTTTTCTAAGTTTTTTTTGTAGAGACTGATAATTTATTATATTTGTGTTAGATAGATTATTAGATATCTTATATTTATCTTTTATCTTTAGTTACTTATATTATTTTCTATTACTGTGTTGTTATTATTTAATTTGTATTTTGAGCTTAATCCATATTTTTTCATTATAAATAAAATATTTGATATGTATTTCTTATCTTAAGAAAAATTAATCTCATTCAACATTTTAATACTTTAATACTTCCATTTAACAATTTTAAATTATTATTTTATTTTAAATTTTGTTTGTATTCATTTTTATCATTTAAATATAACAGTTTATCATTAAAGGGAGTTGTAAAGTGAAAGTAAGAGAAAAACATAGGTATCAAATCATACTTAATTTTTCTGTATCTTGTTATTTCTTTTTCTGTAATCTATCCGAAGTATCTATACGTAAGTTTGATAAATATAGAAACACGAGCATTTTATTATTATTTTTTTATATAGTTTTACCAAAATCCAATTTATTACATCTTTCTGTTCTTCCTATTAAAACAACCCTTCAGAATTGGAATTAATATGGAAATTAGCAAAAGAAAATAGAGAAAGTCATGAGGCGATCAAATGACATTTTATTCAATAAACAATGTCAGAATTTCGGTGTGATATTAAAGAATTGCTTAATAAATTCTCTCATATTTTGTAACAATATTATCCACTTATCTCTTTTGGAAATTCAAGACTTTGACTGATACAGCGAAAGAACCAAAGAAGAGAATGATAAATCCAATAAGCACAAGGGCGGAAAGGCCCACTGCTGAAAATCCGTTGATTTTAGAGTCATATCCAAGAGTAACAGCTAAATACTCTTTCACGCTGCCCTGGAATCCAGGTCCCACTATAATGGTTTCCACATCACCAAGCTGAGACGTTATAATACCACGTAACGTCCATGCAATCGGGCAGATATAATAGAACCAAATCCACCACCCGGGAATACTCTGAGACATTGAAACCAGTGAAGAGACATCAGAATCCAACATATGAACCACAGCTTAATTTTCATGTATTTTAGCTACACACATTGATTTCTCTATTTCTTTCTGGAATAGTACGTGTAGAAGCATGCATGGAATTCAATTGCTATGAAGAACAGAACATGCATACAGAAAACATTTTACTAATTGATGCATTAACAGAATCCTAATAAAAAGTTCTGCAACTGACATTACTCACCGATTTTGGGATGAGAAAACCTGAGAGAAGATTCCACAGGGAGTAAAATGCTGAAGAAATAACAGCTGCTAGATGCTGGGAAGGTGTAAGACCAACGGCCATCATGCCGTAAAAGGTGAAGTAGGTGAACGTTAGGAACATGAACACCAGATAGAGAAAAAACTTTGCTGCAACAAATGAAAGAAATTATCCACTTAATGACAGATCATATTCACATTTATTCATAATTTATCAATCTTGAAGGTAAACAATTAAATTACAAATTTCAGCGCACTAAAATCGATTTTGGTAAGGCAATAAATACCTACAAAGTAAAGCTGAAATATTACCTGCTGTCCTTTCAAAATTGATCATGAAATATGTGATTATACCGAATACTATCGTCTGAACAGCGATGTATGGTACCTCTATTAGCCCCTGTCAATGATATTAAGATTTTAGAACGAGCAATGTGCACTACACATCTAAAGAAGGCTTTAATTTTCAATGTTATATATAAGACTTACCTGGGCTGCAGCATAAGCTATTGGAGAGTACATACCAGCAGCTTTCTCTCTATAGAACACAGTCCTTTCTATTGAAACAATTGGCTGTACAGAAGAAGAGTTATTTACCCCAAGAAACATGCATGCAGAATACATAGCTCCCATAACCACGAACAGCTCTTGAGTTGATTCCCTACAGAATAATAATGGCAAAGCAACTGTTTTATTAGTATAGGTGTAAGAGATTCATGGCATCATATCTTAGAACGTCATTTATGCTTAATTCAATTTTATAAAACGGTTTAAGGCGAGCCACATTCTCGTTCATGTACTCTTTTTAGGTTTTATATTAGGCTAATATGATGCTTAAATCAATCTCCTATTTTTAAATGAATAAATAATAATATCTATGATCTTAAATGTGGGTTAGTTCTTATAAATTCTGTAAACGTAATTTTTAAAATGAAGCCTGTTTCCACAAACGCACACACTCATATATAATATTATAAATAAATTAAATCTAACCATTTATTAAAAAGAAAGAAATTTCTAGATCCGCGATTTAAACACATAAATGTTGACTTTAGGATAATCACTCGACAGTGGGGTCAGTTATGTGTAACTTTGTTTCCATTATTGAATTGAAAGAACCCAAAAAATAATCATTTCGTCAAATCTCAGTCTTCTATCCGCATAATGTTATATTTAAGACAATTCCCTTTGCAACAAATGATAATAAGAGAACGATTTGTTAGGTAATTTAAATGAGAGTAGTTGAAAAAATAAAAAAGGTAGGACTGTTTATTTTTTTAGTAATAATTAAATTATATTTTGGTAGTAGTTTGATAGTTGTGTTTAAGACTAGAAGTTCATTACTTATGAATTGATAGTAGTTGTATTTATTCCATGTTGTTGAGGGATTAAGACTAAGGTTTTAAATATAGTTTATGTACTACTCAAAAGTTTTACACAGTAAGTCATAATATAGACACGGTTTATTAAGGAAGGCTTGTTGTTAATAAATTGGCATAAGAACTAAAGAGTTGGAGTGTCTAAGTGTTTGAGAAAGAGCTAAAAGCCTAAAGATTTATGGAGAGTTAGAAAGTTTGAGTGAAATGACCAACCTTGCAAACATTATGCTCTTGCCTAAGTTATAAAAATACGTAAGCTATTACAATTGGAGAAGGAAGAAGAAGGCTAGCCTCTTGAACAAAACTTCAAGCAAAGACAACTACAAAGGGAGAAGAAGCTCATAACACTGAAGAGAGAGAGAACAAAATTAAATAGGTAAAGGAAATAGTCCTAATGGTAGAATTCGTGGAAAAAAAAAAAAGAAGAAAGAGTAGTCTAGTAGAAAGACAAGTTCAATTTTGAGGAGGTCATTCAAGCAACTCAGGTATTGAGTACTTCAAGTGTGACAAGTATGATCATTATGCCAAGGAGTGCAAATCGATTAAGTGCTTCAGTTTTGGTAAGGTTAGATATTTTGCTAAAGATTGTCGATCTGAAAATGAAAGAGAAAAGAGAACCAGTCTCATTGAAGAAGTTGAAGAAGAAGCGATGTGATGATGGGATGTATCCCTGACAACTTAATGAGATACCTAAATAGCTTAGAATGCTTGGTAAAAAGTGTGAAAATTTTGGATACCCAAAAATGGACATGGAACGCTCGACGAAGCATGTAAATAGCTTGGTTAAGTCAATGGAGCAAGTGGAGAGCTTGGACATGTGTGGAGACGGGATTATTATTCAAAGGTGAGAGGTTACAAGAGACGATTTGCAGCAAAGAATTGAAAAAGAAGTTAGAGGCAATGCAGCGTTATAGACACACTTAGAGAGAAGAAAGAAAGTTTTGCATAAGTGATGCCTAGAACATGAACAAAATGTTTCAAAATTACAAAAACAATTAGAAGCTGAGAAGGATATGAGAGTTGCACTAGAGATGCAAGATGATAAGTGATGATTTTTAATGGATATGGAAAGATCGATGCAATTGAGTACAATAATAGTGGAAATGATTTGATCTCTCAAAAGGAGCTCAACCTATTAATTGGAACCCAATTATTGACAAGTTGACGATATAGACAATAAAAAATCTAACAAAAGATAAGTCAATCAAGGTTAAAAAGAAGTCAGTCAAAGAGAAAAACAAATTGGCCACTGAGATAACAAAGAAATCAATTAGTAACAAATTGGTCACCAAGAATTGAGAGAACAACTCAACCACAATGAAAGCAAAGTCGACTACGAAGAAAGCAAAGAATCTGCCTATTAATAAAAAGAATATACACAGTTTGAAAGGATTTACTGAACGTGAGAAATTGGAATAGAAAAATCAAAATGATAAATAAAAGTAGTATTTAAGTTTACAGGAATATTTTGTTAAATAAAATTAAATGAGGATAGTTGGAAAAATGCAAAAGATATGACTTTTTCTTAATAATAATTATAAAGTTCATTAAATTATATTTTGGTAGTAGTTTGGTAACTCTATTTAAGATTAGAAATTTGTTAATTATGGGCAGTTATATTTATGACATATGGTTGAAGGACCAATACTAAAAACCTATAAATATTTAATGAACTATTCAAAAGTTTTACACAAATTATAATAAAAAGAATGTTTATTAAGAAATACTTCTTACCTTTTTGAGCCAACATCCCAAAATACGGTACCAAATATCAGAGCACTTATTGTGGTGAAGTATAACCTCATCGCATTATACGATGGACTTCTCCAGTATACAAGATTTTGTTTCCATAGGCATCGTAAAAATTGGGAAAACAGATTTAGCGAATACATAGAATCAAATTTCAGTGGTTCAGATCCTGCAGGAGGATGCCCAAATTGCAAGATAGAAGACTCCACCCCCCTGTGAAAAATATTGACTAAACAGTTTAATCATTCATCTGTAAGCAAATATTTCCATTCTATACCACCTCTAGCTTTAGGTTGTATAAAATATCATGTTTTGTTCCCTTTGAAGAAGTCAATTTTATTCGTAGCATCTCTCTCCAATCTAATCTTCTAAAAAAGCAAACAGAAAATGAACCTCAGAAATAGCCGTAAGAAACTATAAAATAGAAGAACCTGTATTGATCCGAATTCTTGTAAGCTTCTGCAAAATCTATATTAAGTTTCTCTTCAGTAGCAGGCGTAGTAACCTCAAGCACCCAGGTGGCCGGATTGTACCCATTCGGAATGGGGGGAATTCCTTTTATTCCCTGCAGACCGGATACGAAAAACAACCACAAACCAAAAATATAAAGAACAAGCGAAGCACATTTACATATTGACATTTGTTTCAACAGAGAAATCTAAAACAAAAGAAGGAAGAATAACAATTAGGCAGAGGCATTCTTGTATCATACATATTTACTCATATTCAGGGATATCTTGGGTAATTAGAAATAAAGATTCCGTATCAGCAGCTGCACCAACAATAATACTAATAATAATAATACAGAACTAGATTCCAACCTCACCTGAAAGTAATCAATCATTATCTGTGACTGAACACCCAGTTTCCCCCCATATATTACTCGTCCGCCACGTTTCATAAGAAGTAACTGGGTAGAGAAAATAATTAAGCTTTAGACTCTGATAGAAGCTAGAGCATCATTAGTTATAAAAACAGATGAAAAAGATTTCAGTAGACTAACATCATCAAATGCTTCAAATATATCAATACTTGGTTGATGTATGGTGCAAACTACAGTTCTACCAGTATCAACAGTATTTCGAACAGCTCGCATAACAATAGCTGCTGCACGTGCATCAAGTCCAGAAGTAGGCTCATCCATAAAAATAATGGAAGGGTTTGCCACAAGCTCCACTGCTATTGTTAATCGCTTTCTCTGCTCAGTTGATAAGCCAGAACTACCTGGCATACCAACCAAAGCATTTCTCAAAGCATCAAGCTCAACTAGTTTCATCACTTGTTCAACAAACTCCTGTAGAATATTTCAGTGAATTAAATGTTTGGAAATAATTCAGAAGGATAAGATATACCTCTTGTCGTGAAACAACTTACAAGTCTTTTAGCAACTCCAACTTCCTTGGGAAGGCGAAGAGCTGAAGAAAACAATAGTGACTCCTCAATTGTTACTTGAGGAGAATGAATATCATTTTGCTCAACATATCCTGATACTCTGGCAAATGTTCGTTGCTCTTTTGGGTAACCCGAAATTTTAATCTCCCCTTCTATGTAGCCTCCAGTTTTCCTACCAGCCAGTACGTCCATCAAAGTGGTCTTTCCAGCCCCACTTGAGCCCACTAACGCTGTAAGTACACCGGGTGAGAAAACACCGCTCACGTTTGTCAACAGCTGCAACCGCGTTTCAGGTATTCCTTGCTTGCTTATCTCCTGTAAAAAAACAAAACTTCTTTTACAACTCATTAAGTATCATGAGATCACTCCTATATTTTCTGGTGATCAAATTACAAATTGCCAATTCACAAATCCCCCACCTTTGGCATATCAACAAAATAATTCACATTATGGAATGTCATTGTCAGTGGTTGAAATGGAAGAATCATTCCTTTCTTATTACTGTCCTCTCTCGCAGATTTGGCGCGGGGACTCGTTTCATAGACATGATTACTGCCTGAAAAACCCATGTAATGAATAGAGACATTTTTGGGTAATAATACTATATTGTCAATCTTTGACTCTCTGGACATGCAAAGTTTGGCGGGTGGTTACCGTCTCTTGAAGATTTCTTTTCCGAGTCATCGTCACTTGGAATAACTGTTCGTGCTTTTTGTGGGGCTTCATTAAAGAGTAATAGGACAAAGAAGAAGGGAATTAAATTAAAGGAAAAAGTTATTTTAACAACTTTTTTTTGACAACTTTTTGACAACGCATACGTGGTGACTTATGATTGATCCGTTTTAAATATTATTTTGAAAATAAATTCAAGCAAACCAATAAAATGGTGATAAGTGTTCTGTTGTCAAAAAATTGTTAAAAAAAGTTGTTAAAATATCATGATCTTAAATTAAAATAACATAGAATATTTATAACTAAATAAACTCCCGGCCCAAAGGGAATAGAAATCAAATTTCAAGAGAGAAAACATGCTTTTAAGTGGAAAACTAGTGGGAAATATTATTGAAAACTTACGATTCAGAAAGGTCAAGGCCACAGTGACCATGTTGTTGAAAAAAAGCGAATAGACAAGTACAACTGAAATACCAATCCAGTACCAGTAGTCAGCAGTTGGTAGGCTCTGTGAGACTAGGACATTGTAACCAACTGTGCTCCCCCCATTCTCGGATTTCTGCAGATAGTTTACACAGTAAACCATAAATATATGCTATAAACTCTTCTCTATTAAAAATTAGATATGTTCTACTCCTTCAGTTTATGAAGTTAGGCTCAAGTCCACTTCTAATATGGTATCAGAGCCATGGTTAGAGCCTATCCTAGCGAGTCCTAAGTGGGCATTCTATTCTTCTATTCCACCCGCTATCGGGCCGTTATCGGATCATCCAATTTCTACTATCACGCACGAGATGTCTATACCTCGGCGTGAATGGGGTGTGTTGGAAGTCCCACATCGACTAGAGATAAGGCCCATTTATAATATATAAGTGAGGTGCAAACCTCACCTTACAAGCCGGTTTTGTGGGGTTGAATTAGGCTTAAAAACCCATTTTCTAATATATGATTTTGGTGAGTTGAGTAACTGATCACTGATCAAAAGTTTACTATCTTCCACTCATGAATTAAGTCAAGTTTTAATACAAGTCAAGGAAATCCTATTCGTTTACCGTGCTTACAGATGCTCACGAAGCTAATTGTAAGAAGGTTATGCAAATCAATCTTGACAGGTTAACTGCTGATTGGATGACTCGTGAAACTAAATTTTCATTTGTCGGTTGTTGCTGGTTTTTAGGAGTCATATTCTTTGTCTGTTTCCTATAGATATATTTGGGCACTCAAAAACGGTTATATTCCTTTACTTTGGATAAACTCTGCTATTGGAAAATCAATAAAAATAACTCTATATTCAGTTTTAATATCCAAAATTAACTCTTGGAGTAGGGCCAACACATGAATTCATAAAGTAAAACCAAATGCAATACCTTCATCCATCTTGTAGCAGTAAATTCATTAACTGTGATAGCACGTTGTCCATAGGTAAGGGGGGACAACCAGTAGCCCCAAATCCACCACGGTTTAATCATTGCTGAAGGAATAACAGCAAAATCACTCCTAATATAACAATATCGTTAAATTTTTCTTTAATATACAGTTTATGGTGTTGCCTACCTTTAGGTATAATAAATCCTCCTAGTAAGAATACAATAAGTAGTGAAGCTGATCCATATGTGTTGGCAAGAACCATATCACGTGCAACAGCTGCCATCATACGGAAGAGACCTAATGCCATTTGATGCATTAAAAAAAGTAAAAGCATGTAGCGAAAAAACCTGAAATATTTAACAAAATTCAGTGATTACAAACAAGGGTTAAAAAGAAAGAAAATATGCAACTTAAAAAATGGTATAAAATTAAGATACCTTCCTGCTGATGGAGCAAATCCAACACTGTAATATACAACAACAGTCCATATAACAGCCTCAACAACGGAATAGGGTACACGTAGAACCCAACTGGTAACAGACCACGCCCATGCAGGATAGAACAAATTATCTCTTTGTTTATAAAATACTGGAAGCCGACTTATCAAGAGTGGTAGCTCAGAAAATCCATTAAACATCATGTGAACCATCCCAAAAAATAGAGCAGAAAGATAAAGGCGTCCATAAACCTCATCTGTGGGATGTAACCTTGTTCGTAGGAATACTGTACATGTGACAAATCCAACAAAAGCAACCTTTGCCAGCAGAAAAATAATTAAACGTAAATACATATGGACCCAAAAAAGAGAAAATTGTGAATACATTAAATAGTTAAGAGAAACTGAAAAAAAAATATTCAGAACTTGCAAATATTATAAAGTTTAATTTCTGTTTGCACTAAGTATAAAAAACTATCAACCAGATAAAATTAGAATTTATATAACTCTTAAATAATTATTATAAAAACCAGCAAAGTAATAAACATATACACCTTGTTTTTGACAGATGATCACAAAAAGGCAATTGCATCAAATATGACTTATATAGTAATTTTTGGGCTTAGTTAATAAGTTATTGAATTATTTAAAATTTTAAATGATTTCTTATGTTTTAAAATATTTTAATCGGGTTAACTTTGCAATCTATTAACTGAATCTTGCTCTGAAGATTTAATTATAAAACCTTTATATATTAAGATAAAATAAAATAAATGATACTAAAAAACTGATAATTCAAGAATTTAATTCATTTTTATCATCCAACCTTTTGAAAAAGATGTAACGCACGTAAAGCATATAATTAAGTCAGTAACTATCATACTTGTCATGAAAAGCATAAAATTGAAGTTACGACGAGGATTGCAGTGTAACTTTGATGAGTCCATATCATAAAACAGATTTATTTAAGAGTTGACGAGTTCATATCATCATAATAACAATCATATTTCCATTATAGAATACTTATGCAGATATGATTATCAGGGATAGGAAGGAAATTTTAAAACAATATCAATATCAAACTTAATTATTTGCAATGACTAGTTGCATTAACTGCATCATGTTATCTGAATAAGACAACACAATGGAAATGCTAAAAAAAAAGACACAAACTCAATATAGTATGTAGAATACCTATATTAAAACAAGAGACCATGGAAACTAATCCGTAAAGTGATATATAATTACAATTACTCAATATTATACTAATAGACGAAAAGCACAACACTTCCAAACTTAAAATATTAATATATATATACACACACACATACACACACTAAACTAGTGGTTAGCTTAAAAGAAGAAAGTATATGATACTTGGGTTTAGATTCTAAGCATACCTTGTGTGATTTTCAATTATTTAACTGGACCAAAATGATAGAAATTTTACTATGATTGAATTTTCAACGGTACCTGGCAGGTCCTAAAGATATAAAGAAAGCTATGCCTTCTTATCAAGAGGAGTTCTCGAGAAAAACAAGCTTTGGCAAGATCCCATCTTGGCACGGCATATTTAGTTCTAGCCAAAGCTGAAGGATGACCTTTTGATGTATCAAGTGGATGACTTTGCAAGGATTCCATATACTTTCCAAATTTCGAATTTTTAAAGGCTTGTGCAATTTCAGCAACTGAGACGAACACATATGGTTTTGAAGGGTCTGCCCAGTATTGTGCTTGATCCTTTTTAGATGTCACCTGACAAAAGAAAAGAAAGTATTCGAGCAACATTTGATTCCATTTAATTGATCATGAAAATATGTCAAGAAGATATACCTCCTGTAGAAAGTCAGCAATCCCCTTACGAGGTGGAAGTTGAAAACCTAATGACTGAAAAAAGTCGAGCACGTCTTCTCGAGGACCTTGATATACCACGTACCCTTCTGACAGAAGCACCAGATCATCAAATAGCTCAAATGTCTCAGGAGCTGGCTGAAGGAGAGCCATGAGTACTGTAGCGTCCATTTGATGAACAAAGTTCTTTATGCATTTTACTATCTGGAACGTAGTGGAGCTATCAAGACCAGTTGATATCTCATCCATAAATAGTGTTTTTCTTGGACCAACAATCATCTCTCCTAAAAGATGCAATACAAAAAGTCACGATTGCTGCAAAATGCACGGACATAAAACGCAGTTAAAGCATTCAAAAATTTGTCCTTTTGGACTATCTACAAACTCCTTATGTATCCAAGGAGCAACTTACTAACTAGTAAGTACAAACGCAATTAACAAAATATTTGCGTTTAAGCAACAATGCAGTAGGCTTCTCATGAAAAAGTAGAAAGTGTAGGTCTCATTATCCTTCTTTCTGTTGTCGAAAGAGAGTTTTAACATAAATTTCTATTTTTTTATGGGTACCATTACCCTAATTAAGATTTAAACATAATGTAATAATTGTACTAGATTATATCGATAATCACGCTTGATATTTTCGTGTGACGTGTATTGAAAAGTAAAAAAAAAAGAAATAATAAAAAAACTCTGATAAATTAAAAACAAATGGCTTTATAATATATAAATAGGAAATGTCTTCTTTAACAACTCTTTTTTAACAATTTTTTTGACAACACAGACGTGATGGTTTATGATGGGTTGGTTTCAAATATTTTTCTGAAAACAAATTCAAAGAAACCAATAAAGTAATGACATGTAACCCAATTGTTAAAAAATTGTTAAAATTTGTTGTTAAAATATCATATCCATATAAATAAGACTCGTGAAACCAAGATTCCGGAGAGAGAGAAAGAGGGGATAAACCTGTTGTAACTCTTTTCTTTTGGCCCCCAGAAACCCCTCGCATCATATCGTTGCCAACTATTGTCTCCGAACATATATCGAGACCAAGCACTTTCAAAATGTAATCCGTATTCACGCTGTGTTTCTTACCTCCGACAGATGATGCCTGTGAAGTTAATCAAATTTCCCATCAGACATCTGCATAGCCCACAGTAGAGGCACGGGGCATGATTTTCATACTAGAAATTTAGGATGATAACCTTCATAAACGCGTCAACTTCTGCACTAGGTCTTATGTTCCTTTCCTTCTCTAGGCGGCCAAGTTCGGTTGTATATGCTGCGAGAATTAAGCACATTTGTTGTACAAATTCAATTGTCCGAGATATAGAAACACTTCAATAATTAAATTAATGTTTACCTGCAAAACCTTCTTCTGCACCTTGACATCTAGCACCAAAATCCAAACATTCTCTTACCGTCAGTTCCGCAACGTGATCATCTGTTTGGCTAATGTATGCAGAAGTCCGTCGAACATAAAAATCGTCCACCTCGCAGCCATTGTATGTTATACTACCCGTTGTCTGTACAAACACAACAGCAACAATAACGTATTTTAAGATATAGTCAATTTTTTAAAAAGTGATAGCTTTGTTTGCCACCTTTAAAAAAATATAGCTAATCGAAAAAATATAGCTAATCGACAAAATTAAATCAATTTTTTTAAGAGAAGTTAGATACATTGATTAATAAAATTTATTATTATTATTATTATTATTATTTTCATTATCTACAATTTGTTAAAATATAAAATTTTAAAGTTTTTTTTTATTTGACGAGGTCTTACAATTTTAATTTTAATCAATTTGGTAACTAAAAAAAGGGATATATTAAAAGATCCTATTTAAATATACTTTTTACTACAAAAGAATATATGAGAAGAAAAATAGAAGAATCACCTTGAGGTTGTTATCAAGCTTGCCCGCGAGAGCCAGAAGTAAGCTGGTTTTACCTGCTCCCGGAGGTCCTAATAGCAGAGTCATCCTGCAATACAGCCAAAAAGTAGTATAACAGTTACATCAGCGCGCACAGGAAACCTCTGAACCTTTTAAATAAAGAAGCATACATCCGTGATACGACTACCATCACGTTGCGTACTAAATCCAAATTAACTCACATTTTACGGATTCCATGATGTCTAAAAGAAAAGTTTAATAACTTTATTCACACATTGGTTGAGTAAAACAGCATGAACAACCGCGGTCGGGAACGCGCGTAGAAAGAAGGAACTAAGAAGCACTGTTACCTTCCTGGCTTGATAACGCCACTGATATTGTTCAGTATGGTAAGGGCATGCCGTTTAGGTTTGCATAACCTCATCTTAGTTAGGATTCCCTGCGCGCAACCCCATGCAAAAAGTTGTTAGGATACGCATAGCTTTATGAAAATAAAGTAGTGAGATAAAGACCAAACTAACCTCGAAGCAATCACGAGTATAGTTAACCAGTGTTGGTAGAGCTCTAGAACCAATTTGAACATTGGCAGAGACGTTCAGGTTCCTGAATCTCACCTCGATCTTCGGCACCTCCAACCCAACCCTTCCGCAATCAAAAAACAGGAACAATAGCAATATCGAATCATAGATCAGTAATTTTGAAGAATCGCTAACACGGAAAACAGAAAAAAAGAAGAAGAAAAGAACAAGTATTAGAAAGTGAAACCTGTCGAAGCGTTCTTTTATGGCGCAGAGAAGGCGGTAGTTGTCTTGGTCGGTGGTGGCCAGAGCTTTCTTAACGACGAGTTCCCGGCGAGAGCGGCTCAGCTTTCGGACGTCAACTAAGTCTTGCGTAGGAGGTTGAGCACGGGAAGAAGATGCGCGGAGGAGGGCGTAGTTGATGCGCTTCTGCGACGGCAACCTGGAGAGCGCCGCCCACTGCAGCTCCTCTTCATCCTCGGCCACGGTCTCGGAGTTGGAGGCCATAGCGAAGCTCTCGCTATGGAGTGATCCTAATTCGAAGTATTCGCTTCCATCGGAAGCCGCCATTTCTGTAACGGTTTCGTGTTTGGAACGGAGACGAAGGAAATTGAGAAAGTGAAGAGGATTGTACAAGAAGAAGAAGGACTCTGTGAGATGTTTGATTTAGAGGAAATGAAGAATAAGTATGTACTTAGAAGAAGTGTGGTGACTTGAGAGTTTGTTACGCTCTCTAAAATACCGTTGTTGTTTAACGTGAATGTGTTTTGACAGTTTAGAGTGCTTGTTGTCCTATTCTTCCGAATCTTCTAATGATTGTTATTTGTTGGTACTATGCGAACCATCAATGACCCATCCACAAGCTATCTTCTCCTCTCATTCTCCTTGTTCTACTTGACCATTGACATTTACTCCTTCTTTTCTCCTCTTAAAAAATTAATATAAAATTACATATATTTATTAAATTCTTTTTAATAATACCATATTTAATTAAAATACGGTTTGTCAATTGAGACTAAAATAATAATATAATGACATAACTAAACATTACCTTCTCATTATTGTTTAACACATTAGGAGTCAACATATTTCTCGACGATTATCAATGCATGAAATTTACTTTTTTTATTTTTCTTTCATAATTTAACAGCTTTATGTAAACTTTATATATATATATATATATATATATTATATATATATATATATATATATAATATATATATATATTATATATATATATATATATATATATATATATTAGAATAAGTATTAAGTCAAAATATGTCACTAAAGCAAAATAATTGTTTTCAGTTATCTTTTCGCATAATCATTCTCCATATAGAATTTTGATTATAATCTTTTAAGAACTTTTACATTTTTTATCTTCTTATTATTTGTGTAAATGGGTTGTGACACTTCAAATGTCACCGTTTATACATATTATTTTTTGTTGATAAAAGAGCTACATTCTTTTACTTTTTATGATAAAAGTATAAGAATAAAAAAAATAGAAATATCACTTAAAGAAAATGAAGTAGAATAAAAAGAAATTTACTCTTTTTTTAAATATTCCCAACAAATAAGCAAACTCTTCCTACAAATAAAATCTGTAATTTAAATGCTAATTTTTGCGGTTAAAACTTAAATGTAAAGGTAATGCATGCTAACATTCGGAATAAATATATAGATTATAAAATAAAACTATAAAGATACGTGGATGGATAGGACAAATTACAGTTAGAATTTTAAAACACATATATACAATAAAAGAACCTAAACTTTAGAAAAATGAAAAGTTATCTTATAGAACGATTTATATTAATATATCAATAAATAACATAAATTAATGTGTATCTATATCGTATGGATAATAAAATAAATCAATGGAATTAGCTTAAGAAAATAAAAGAAAGTGAAAAAATAAAGTACTAAAACCAATAAAAGAGATAAAAAGTTGAAAAAGTATACTTTTTTGATAAAAAAAAGTATTTATTATTCAATTTGACAAAAAATATATATATATATATATATATAATATACTATTTAAATATATTTGAAAAGCTTTTAAAGAATATACATATAGTTTGTAAAGATAAGGAGAACAAAATCTTGTGACATTTACATAGGACACAAACAATGGGATCGGACACTATGTTAGTTTAGTTTTAATGCTTTCACTGATTAGGAGAGTTAGTTTGTGGGAAATGTACTTATTTCTCGAGAAATAAATGAAAAGGGTCAGTGATTTGGTTTAATTAAAGAACCTGGATTTCAGGTGAATGTTTATCGGTATATGTCCTTAATTTGATTGAATGAGTCAATGAACATTGACAACTTATTTTTAACATAATATTAAAGTTTGTTTGAAGTGTTTTTTTAAAATATAAACATTTATTTATAAGAAGTCAGATGAAAAATGAAAATAAATAAGTTTTTAAAATGTTATTTTAGTTTTCAATAATATCTATAAAATAATTAAAGAAAAGATAAATAAATAGAATTATTTTTGAAAAACCAAATGCTGAATATATTAAAAAATTAATTTATCAAATATTTTTAAAAAATTTGCTATCAAATTAATTTATCACACTTCATTTTCTCTTTCAAAATATTTTTTCGTAAATCATCTAAATAGATAGAGTCATTAAGGGTTTGTTTGCTTCCAAGTATGTACTCTCGAAGAGGAAGGGAAGGAGAAAATACCCTTGGTTTGTTTCAAGACATTTGCAGGAATTGGTGCATATGGATGTGGGAGAGAGGAATTTGTTTCAAGATATTTGAATTATAAAATATATTAAGTGCTTCAATATTTACAAGTTATATATTAAACTAGTATACATAAAGTTTAACTATTTTTCATATTTAAAATTTTGTACATCTACTACAAAAAAAAAGTTGTTAATTAGTGAAGTTTTCTTTTAATTTGCGGAGATTTTTATCCTTCACAAATTGATTTTCCATGGTTTTTCAAATTTTACCGTCAGTGTCGCCAGAATCGATTTGCATAAGTTTTTCATGATTTTAATATCAAAGTTATATTGCAGAATTGTTTTTGTTGAGAGTGTGAACCTCTTCTATTAGCAACTATTATTTTGTAGAAAGTTTGAAATTTCCTCTATTTATAATAGCTCATTTACATTTATAATTTTCTATTTAATAAAATCTATTTTTTATAATAAGAAATAAATAAAATATAAAATTGTAAAATACACAAAAGTTAATCAAAATTATTATTGATAATTTAAGATAAATAATTTAAAAAATATTAATGTTGAAGTCTTGTATTTCTGAATGAGTTAATAAGAGGTGCTTCCAAACTCATACATTGCAATATCTCATAATGCTCTGAGCCCAACACTCTTCTAAAGACTGAAAAAATCATTAATACCACAAAACTGTAGCAAAAGTTCTACATTTTCATAAACATCAGGTAGGTTTGTTTAGCTTTCCCAGCCATCCTGCATAGATCTTAATCAAGATTATCACCACTCTTTGTTATTATAGATATAGCAGTTATGTATGCAATAAATGAGAAATAATTAATTACAATAATCATCATTGTTCTTCCTTTTCTTATAGAAATCATCACATAAGAAGAATAGGTATGTTTTTATAGAAGCACAAGAAATCACTACTTTTTTTTTCTTTTTTTAACATTTTTTGGGTGTAAAATCTATACCCCAAAGTTATATTAAGTCTATCAAATTTAATCCTATCATATTTAAAAGCTAATACAATTATCTATAAATTCATGTTTATCTAGATATATGTAAGTAAATAAAAGAAAAAGTTGGAAAATACTAGAGCAATCCCATTGTAGATGTGGAAATTTGGATATGAAATGCAATGACCCTTAATATCAAATTCCAGGAAAGAAACAAAAGACTTTGAATAAGAGTGGAAGCATCATCACGTCAAACAATACTTGTGGAAATTTTATAGTGCGATGATACCTTATATCACTTTTTCTCCTCACAAAGAAAAACAAAACTTTCAAATTTTGGTCATCTCATCATTCATGTTTCATGCATTTTTTATTCATAATTTGCAGCATCCATTATCGACTTCATTCTTAATCATAATTAATTACCATGTAAAAATTTTCATAATGTTCAATATTTATTATCATATAAAAATTTCTCATGAAGAGATATTTGCATATTATACCATTCATTGCTAGAACCAAAAGAGAAAAAAAAGAAAGAAAGATGGAAAACACCTATAAAACTCCTTCAATATGTGTTGTTATACTCATCTAATCAGTATATGAATATATTCATCTAATGTGTATTGTTAGACTCGTCTAATTAGTATGAAAAACTTGTGTAATATATATTGCAAGAATAGGTCAATCAAATAATGGATATAGTCGTCCAATGTTTATTAACAGATTCATTAATGTATGTATGAACAGACTCGCCTAACATATATTCTTTAGACTGATGTAATCAGTATATATATGGACAAACTCGTCTAATGTGTGTTACTAGACAATCAGTGTATGAACATATTCATCTAATGTGTATTCTTAGACTAGTTTAATCAATGTATGAAATGAATCATCTAATTTTTTTGCTATATTCATGTAATCAATATATGGATAAATTCGTCTAATGTGTATGACTAGACCTGTGTAATGTTTTTGTTACACTCATCTAATCAATGTATGAATAGATTCATCTAATGTGTACTGGTATACCTATGTAATGTTTTTGCTACACTCATCTAATCAATGTATGAATAGACTCGTCTAATGTGTATTGCAATATTCATGTAAGTAGTAAATGAACAGACTTGTCTAATATCTATTAATAAACTCGTCTAATTCATGTGTTAAGAGGTTTGTCTAATATATATTGCTAGAGTTGTCTAACATTTAATCAATACATCGACAATAAACTCGTCTAATTTTTTTGCTTTGCTCATCTAATCAATGTATTCCCAAACTTGTTTGATAATTTTTGTTACACTAGTCGAATCAACGTATGAAATGACTTATCTGATATTTTTTGTTATACTTATATTGTTGTATGGACAATCTCATGTAATGCTTTTGCTATATTATTCTAATCAATGTATGAAAAGATTTGCCTAATGTGTATTGTTAGACTCATTTAATCAATATATAGATAAACTTACATAGTATGTATTGTTAGGCTTGTTTAATGAAGATACGAACTTACTTGTATAATGTATATTGTATATTGCTAGACGCGTCTAATAAGTGTATATTCATTCTCATGTAATGTGTATTACAAGACTCGTCTAATTAGTGAGTGAACAAACTCGTCTAATTAGTGAGTGAACAAACTCGTCTAATGTGTATTAATAAATAGTCTAATTTGTGCATAGACAAACTTGTCTAATATATACTGTTAAATTTGTCTAATTAGTGTATAAACATACTCGTCTAATTAGTGTATAAACATCACTAGTAAAAAATTGCATTTTTAACTTGCCCATTATGCTTCGATTTTTCTGGAATCGGAGCGTATCAAAACGCGGTGGCAGTCTCGTAATTTGGAAAACACTATATGTCTCGGTTGTTAAGCAACCGGTGTTTAAAGAGAATACTGCCTCGGTTGGCAGGGTGAACCGAGGCATAAACCTCATGTGGCAAAGATATTGCCTCGATTGACAGATGGACCGAGGCATATAAGCCTTTCTAGTGGGACCTTAA